CCCAAAAAACTGAACACACAACTAACATAGTTACTTCGAAAATGGTGGGAGGGGAGGTTGCTATTGTAACCCTCCACTCAATTAAAATCCTCAAACACTAATATGGCCTTTGATTTTGTGTAATTAAAAATAGGTTTTAACTAGGACAAATTTATAATAATAAGTCATTTTATTATTTATTTATGAAATTTGACCCACTTTAGGCCACGTCGGCAATGTAGGCTGAACAAGAGTCAACGACAACAACAACATCATCCAAACCTTTATCCCAGATATTTGAGGTCATCTACATGACTCATATTCTTCCATTCCATTCTATTATGGGGCGGGCATAGGCTGAAAGGGAGTCAACCTTTAAAAAAATTAGACTTTTCCCCCTTATTAGTATAATCATCAGGATTCACAGGGTTGGCAACCCCGTATATTGTTTCTCTTTCAATCTTTCTACAATAGTTATACTTGTGACCAAGTGGTCTAAGGTGCCACAGTTAGGCTCTCCCTTGAAAAAGCATGGGTTCGAATCGCTTTGCATAAAAATATATGATTGTACTTTTTTCTTTTGTCTACCTTAAGCAATTATGGTCATTCTAAATATACAGGATTGGATATTTAGAATCTGACTCCTGCAGATGTACAACTTGCCAAAATAAATCCAACTCTTGCAATAAACTATCTTAGACCAACTTGATCAAACCATCTTTTGCATAAACTTACAAAGAGGAACAGTACATGCTGGCTTGCCAACCCTTGCAATTAGTGACACCTGCTACTTACACGAATTGATAACAGAAACTTCATTTTTTAAATCAACCCAGTTCCATCTAATGTTGTTGACGTGGATGAAACAATGTGTAAATAAATAAAAAGCGGGTCGAAATCCATAACTAAATATTAAACATGGTTTTTAAAAATATTTTTCCTGTTTACGTCTGAGAAGTTATTACAGATGTAGATTATAACAATCTAGCATAGAATGACAAAAAAACACATTCATTACGATAATATAGAAACAAAATGGCCATTATAGTGAAGTTTTATTGGAGTAATTATAAATACTTATATTTAGGGGAAACATATGCTGACAATGGATAACTTACATATAAGCAGATGTGCAATTTAGATGTGACGTCTTCAACAACGTCATTATCAACAAAATTGGACAGTATGCATATCATTTGCCAAGCACGAACTTTACGTCTGTGCACCTAAGTGAAACAAATAAATTTCAAATTTCACATTATCCAATACGAGGAAAATGGAACAGCATATAGCAACATAGGCCCAAGCGAGAAAAATACTCACTGCACTGTACTTTTTGTAAAGCTCCTTTGCAAGGTCTTTATCATTAACCTGTTTCAAACAGTTAAAGAACCAATAACAGGTATCCAAAATAAATACAGACTAAATGGCTTTTTTAACTAATACTAATGATTTCCATCAAAAAGAGGGGAAAACCTAGCACTGGAGGTTTAAAATTAATTATAAAAAGCCTGAAACCTGGGCTTTGCTACAACTTTTTTTGTTTTGGTACTTCAATATACACCTTAATTGTTACTTAAGCAAAAGAAAAGCCAAATATGCTGACGATAAATGTTTATCATTGACATCCAATAGGTACTAATGTTTATTTGATTCCAAAGTTCATTGTGGTTTATGTAAAAATGAAAACAGTAACCTAAAGATATAAGAGTGGTAATACCATGATGAGAATTAACCATAATCACTACATGCTAATCAGATCATGAGCGGAAGTCTTAATATGAATTCATTGAGAGCAGGTGGATGCCTACATAATAACTAGAATGATAACAAAAATAAAAGATACCTGTTGACATTGCATAAAGCTTCCTTCTGATTAGCAAAGAAGCAGATGGATTAAAGATCACTTCTTCTCGAAGAAGAAAAGGAAGAGGAAGATGATAAATTTAAGCTCAATGCTTGGCTCTGTGACTTTTTGTTCTTGGCAAAGGCCAAGCATCTACTGGTTCTTTTCTCCCCTAGATAATCATTTTTAAATTTTACTATTAGGCCACAACTTTAGTGTGAATCACATGTCAGCTAGGTTTCCCAGACACTTCACCTAGGCTCCCATATCCAAGTCCAACACTTCATGCAGCCATGTGGACACTTTTTGAAAATATACATACATTTTTTAAAAAAGTACTCAATTATGACACATGCTTTAGCCTAAAAGGCTCGTGATTCACTTCTTGGATGTATATCGTATACTTCGCCTCAAATTATGCAACTCGTTGGACTCAAGACAGGTTCGTTTTAGCACATAATTAGTTCATAAATATGATTTTAATGGGTCATTTGGGTATTAGTTAAAAAAACAAGTAGTATTTCAATTGACCATCTACTCAATCAAAAAAACCTAAATATGGTATAAGGATTTTAGTTCTCATAACATGTTAATGAAAAACAATATTGACATTGTATACATTACTAATTTTAATATGTATATAGCCGTGTTAGTGTATCCTAACTTATAAAATTTTACCGTGTTCGTGTCCGCAACCATGTCCGTACCCGCACCCGCACCCGCACCCATGCAACATAGCATGTCAGTAAGATAAATACGAGAAGAATGTCTCGCGTAGGATAGCCCTAGTGTGAAGTTCCTTGTTAGTTAAATGCCAAGTGAGTGGGATTGGATAAGGAACAAGAATGGGCTTTTTTTCCTACAACAAAATATAGCATTTTGATTATTCTTAAAGCATGCAAGTTATTAATGTCAATATCATCATAACTACTAGAATGAATTATTTAAAGCAATTTTAAACAATTCAATGACTAAATGCGAATGCTAGTACACATACTTTATTGAAATTACACACTGTGACATGTTCATAGATCTTCAACATGTTGAATTTGAAGACAATAAATTAAGGCTATATTAGTCAAATCCCTTCTCCAAACCTCACCTCAGCCAACCCAAAACACGCGCACGCAACCCGCCTCTACATGGTAAATAAATACATCCAAGAAGTGACCCAAAACAACATGTAAACAATTCCTCTAGCCTAGAGTTTTGAGGTTAGCCCCAAGTTATGTTTTCTTTTGTTCATCTTCGTCAAAGGTTGTGTCCTAGGTTAACTCAGCAAGTACCCCCATCTTTTTTCCCTTTGCCCATATCTTTTATTCCTACTTTGCATCCTCTTTGCTCTATTAATTGTGATCTTACAACTCCCAGCAGGCACACTTATCAGCCTCAATTGCACATGTGCAAACCATCTAAACCAGCTCCCCGTCATTTCATATCTAGCGAATCTATCTTTAGCACCTTGCAATTCAAGAAAGTGTCTCTAATCCATCACAACATTCTTTTTTATGCTACACTCGTCTTCTGTAGATGTTTTTCCCCTTGATTTTTTACAATTATGACCATAAAAGGTCACTTATTTCATTGTAATCTTATAGGATTTTCTCTTCAATTCCACAGGAATTATATGACAAACTGACAACATAAAACTTCCCAAAGCATTCTCCATTTTGTTCCAACCAGATTTGGTCCATGAGTGCATCCTTCAAATCATCATGATGGACAATTGGTCATAAGTAGAAAGAGTTGATATTCACATATAATTCCAGGCCATTAATTTTGTCCCACGTAGGCATTCCTTCTTGCAGCTTTACACTCTACAAACTCCATTTTCAAATATTTAAATTTAAACCTTTGTTCCCCTTTTCCATTTTGAATTCCATCGTATCAACCAATACAAGATTATTAGGAAACAATATGCATCATAATTAATAAGACATGGTCCTCTAAATAGTAAGGGCATCCATAACTTATGCAAAGAGTCAAAGACAACCCCTCTCTGATGTGTCATTTACTCTTCCCCAAACAGTCATCGTATAGCTTATAAGCTTGATTGGACAACAGTTTGTCTAACTTTACATCTCTTTGTTCTTACAAATGCGTACCAAACTGGTTACCCTCCAATCATTGGTCAATTCTTAGTTAAATACAGTTTCGTCGACTAACTTCTTTAACAATATATCAGGCCTGTATTGCCTAAACCTAAACACATTTCAACAAGGAAGCCCAAACACATTTCACCAAGGAAGACAGCAGGTAACATAACAATCCCATTTTTTGCCTTTAAATGCATTCTCAATGTCAAGAAGCTAAGCTTTCGCATTTGGTTCAGCCTTAAGTTACGTATGGAAAAAATTCCCAAACGAAAAAAGAAATTTTTTGATTTCCACTGACTGACATCATATTAAGCGTACAAAATGGGCCATACAACTACAACAACCAAGCCTTAATTCTAAATGTTTGGGGTTGGCTACATGAATCCTATTTTTCCATTCCATTCTGTTGTGGGTCATCTCCTCTGTTAAGTTAGTCTTAATCATATCCTTCTTAATTGCTTCTAACCAAGTCATTTTAGGTCTACCTCTAAATCTCCTAGCCCCATTAATTCTAATATTATCGTTTTTCCTAATCGGTGCACTAAGGGGTCTCCGTTGTACATGACCAAACCATCTTAATCTATTCTCTCATTTTATCCACAATAAGCGCAACCTCTAATTTACTATGAATGCACTCATGTTTTATCCTATCTTTTAATGTATACCCACAATATCATCGCAACATTCTCATTTCTGCTACACTTATTTTTTGCACATGTCTTTTAATTGCCCAACACTCTAACCCATAAAGCATAATTGGTTTTATAACTGTCCTATAAAATTTTCCCTTTAGTTTCATTAGTATTCTACGATCACATAAGACTCCCGAAGCACTCCTCCATTTTAACTATCCCGATTTGATTCGATTCACCATCATGCCTAATGATTGATTCCAAATACCAAAAATGATTAATTTTAGGTATTTATTGGCCATCAAAATGTACCATAGGTTCTCTTTCCTAGTTTTACTAAAAATGTACTCCATATATTCTATTTTTATTCTACTAATTCTAAAACCTTTAGATTCAAGAGATTGTCTCCATCTTTCTACTTCAGAAATAATGTCTCTTCTAGTTTCATCAACTAATATTATATCATCGACAAATAACATACACCATGAGATTTCATCCTGAATATGCTTAATAAGTTGATCCATAACTAATGCAAAAAGATAATAACTTAAAACTGACCATTGGTGTAAACCTATGGTAATAGAAAATGGTTTAGTCTCTTCTTCATTAGTTCTTACTTAAAACTGACCATTGGTGTAAACCTATGGTAATAGAAAATGGTTTAGTCTCTTCTTCATTAGTTCTTACTTTAGTTGTTACTCTATCATACATATCTGGTAATAGAAAATGGTTTAGTCTCTTCTTCATTAGTTCTTACTTTAGTTGTTACTCTATCATACATATCTTTAATCACATCAATATATATACTAGATACATATTTCTTTTCTAACACCCACCACATTACCTCTCTAGGCACTCTATCATAAGCTTTTTCTAGATCGATAAAAACCATATGTAGATCCTTTCTCTTCTCTCTATATCTCTCCATCAACCGTCTCAAAATATGTATAGGTTCCATAGACCTCTCAGGCATCAAACTAAATTGATTTTCAGATATACTCGTCCCTTTTCTTAGTCTTTGCTCAATTACCCTCTCCCAAAGTTTTATAGTATGACTCATAAGTTTTATACCTCGATAATTTGAACAATTTTGTATATCGCCTTTATTCTAATATGTCGGTATCTAAGATGAATATTCAGAACGGGGCTAGTTCAAAGATTATCAAAGGATGAAAAAAGCTCAACAAAAAAATCGCAGTTTGAATCCAAGGTCACACTTGCACCAGAATATACAAATTAATGCACCATATGTCTTATACCTAACTAGAATACTGTTACTTCAGATGCACCTTAGACAATGCTTATTCTTACCTTACAACTATTAAAAGGAAGCACGAGTTTAAACATTTCAACACAAAATATAAGTAAACATTTCGTGTTCCGCCTGTTCACCAAACTGACTATATCCCAATTGAACAGAAGACTGCTCCAAGCAGCAAATCTAGTTAAAAGTTCCACAATAACACACTTCCAATAGTAGTTAGAATTATTCAAATGAAGTGCAGTTATGATCTTATAAACATATCTGCAAAAAGGACAGACCTTATTGCTGGACCGATATCAGGAAAATAACTTTAGAAAAATTTCCTATATTTATCATGCAATAATTACCAAAATATATTCCAAAATTTATATATATATATATATATATATTATTCATATCTTCCAAGAGCCAAAATCAATAAAGATTAGAATCTGAATCCTAAGTAAAAGTCCTAGTATTCATTAAGGAAACATTTCCAGGAAAGGTTCGTAAGGCTTTTGGCTGAAAGGGTAGAGAACATATCAGAAACAAACTAAGCGATTTTTATCGCATAAAGGGGACACCTTATTGCTGGACAAATACCAGTAAAACAACTTCAGAGAAATTTTCTGGTATTTATAATACAATCACTGCAAAAATATATTCCACAGCCATTTTTCATTTAAAAATATATTTCAACAAACATACTATTATTTATATTTTCCATGAGCCACTAAGAAAGGTCAGAATCAACACTTCATAACAATCCTACTATACATTAACAAAATTACCCAAGAAAGTCCGCTAGCTCTTTGCAGATGGGCAGAGAGCATATCAGAAAAGAAACCTTGCATAACTCTAAGTTTATTCTCTTTTCTAGAGTGAGATTTAAGGAGAAATTCAGTTACATGTTATAAACTATTGATAAGAGCTTCACCACCATTCTTGTGAAGGCTAAAGGAAAGTAATTAACACATACCGCAGAATCAAGAAGCTCAAATAGAAATGTTTTTCCACAATCAAGTGCAGCAAGACAATCTTCATGTTTCTGTTTCCCTTCCCTGTTAACAGAATCAGCTAGCTTGTAGAATAGAACCGCAATAGATACCCGCGCATACAGCTCTGTATTAATAAACACCTGAAAAATACCCCCAAAAAAGTGACTAATCAATAAATGTTTGGCAGAATAATAATGCTAAAGTAAACAAAATAAAGTTAAAAAAACAATGCACTAGGAACTCAACTGATGTCAACAATAGAAATACAAACATATGGAAAACTTTGAATTGCCAAGGGGCTATTAAGCAGTGGTCTAAGCTGAATAGACAACACAAGTTAAGAAAGAATAAAATACAGATAAAAAAAGTTTGACCAATTGAATGGATATATAAGGTGAGAAAGGTGAGATTGACATCTATTGCCAAGGATGAATATTTTTACAAAATAAATCAAATAGCACGAATATAAATGAGAAATTGCCGACTGCAATATAACGGGACAAATTGAAATATTTGACAAAGTAACTTGAAATAAAAACGACACTAAATGGAAATAAAAGCATCATAACTAGTATAAATTCATAAAAATCAACACTAAGAATAGTGCAGCTTACCCACTACGACAACAAAACACATAACAACAAGGGCCACAAATACCAGAAGTTTACAAGGGATTGTCATTACACTAAATAATTGGGCATGTACAAATGCACGTGAGGTTAACATAAAAATATAAGACTTTAAAATGTGAATGCATATTTTGTCTATAAAATAGTATATATCGAAATTGATGATGGAATCCACCATTTCTAGTTATTTAATAATCTCACTTAATTCAGTTGTTATTAACATGTGCCCGTTAAAACCCCACCTTCAATATTTCTTCTAAAATTCCCAATTTCCAGCAATTGACATGTGGATTGTATGTAGTGGATGATATTCAACATGCACCAGCTACCGTCACAGAGTAGCATAAATAAAGGCACCTGAAACCAAAATATTCCAGAGAAGTTGCTCCAAGGTTGGTCAATGAAATGGACGGCTAGCTGTAAGAGGTGATTGCTTGGCTTATGGAGAAAAGATGTACCTACAACGTTAAGGGTATGTTTCGTGAAGCATGAGATGCAATGGTTGTTTAAAAGTAGTAACCTATATATCCAAAAGATTGTGAACATGTTTCGTCTCACACATGGAGGCAGACAATAAGATCTCAAAATGGAGATAACAGTAAGATCTCAAACATGGACACAGGTAGTAGGGTGTCAGAAACGGAGACAAACAATAGTCCCAAACATAGAGATGAGTAATAGAAAGAAGACCCAAGCTTGAGGGCATGACACCAACAGAGGACTTGACCTTCATTGAGGCATTAAAGAAGGCTCCTCCAGCATTAGTTTACCTTCACACACTACAGAGCTTGTGATGTGGGAGAAAAAAAGGATGTAAGCATATGCTTCCTTGTACCCAAATAACATTGCGGGCATTTTTTACTCTCTTTTTTTGGGTTTTTTTTTTTTTTTTTGGGGGGGGGAGTCATGACAGAGAGTGTCACGCCCTGGGCCCACAGACCTGGAGCGTGACAAATGGTATCAGAGCCGTTAGCCAGCTGAAAATGTGGAGCTAAGTGTACATCTTGTGGTTGCGGTGGGAGCCACCTCTAGAATCCACATCGCCTGGCAAGTGATGTTGGGATGTGTCAATTATCATGTCGAGACAACGAGGACGTCGTCTTTGTAAGGTGGGATGATATGACACCTCCACTTTAGTTCCACATAGACTACTGAGAAGAACTTTTAGTGGCTTAAATAGAGAAAACCTAAGACTAAAGAACAACTAGTGCTAGCATTTTAGCAGTGGATTTTAGCCAACATTGAGTTGCTCTCGGTGGGTCCCACAGCTAACATGCACCAATAGGGCCCACGGGCTTGGGGCGTGACAGAGGGCTATCAGTAGAAAGGTCTCCTGATGGTCAAATAAATCCCAGACCGAAGATGACGTAGCTCCTAGAGATAAATGACATGTTACTGCCTTGGCATGTGTTTATCATTGTTTTAAATATCGGCCGATAATCGATATTATCGGCCGAGTTATCGGATTTGGGAGCTCTCCGATAAGATAACTTGGATTTTTAATCGGTTATCGTTTTTGGCAAGTTATCGGGGAGTTATCGGCGTTATCGATACTTATCGGCCGATAAGTAAGGTTTTTTTATCGGGATTATCGGCCGATAAGTAAGGCTATGCAATCGAATGGTTTCATCGTGCAGTCAAGATGCAAGTTTTGCTTTCTACAATTGGTTAGTGATTCTAAACATGATGATTTACATTTTGGTATGTTTATATTTCATTAAGCATGGTTAGATTATATTTTTTAGTTATTATATTATATATATACACCATCTAGTATATCACTCCGATAAATACTACTTATCCCCGATATATCCCCGATTTCCGCTATCCGATAAGAATTTTGGCCGTCCGATAAATTCCCGATAACCGAAATTTAAAACCTTGGTGTTTATTATGCTTTATTTCATAATGTAGAACCAATTGTGAAGGGAAGGGGTGAATGGTAATAATAACTTCGAGAAAGAGAATGAAATCAATAGGCTCAATAGAATATGCTTTTCAACTTTGGGCATAACCCTGCCCCTTGACAGGCTCCTCTGACATCAGGCCATGTCCAAAGACACAAAGAAGTATCACCAAATCTCTGCTTTAGCGGTTTGGATAATTCAGCACCGATACTAGTCCCTTTCCAACATATATAAAGCAATAGAGTAGAACTACGAGAGAATGGAATTGACTCTTGGTTCTTGTTGTCCATACCAATCAAAGCCCCTCAGTCGTGAAGTTTGAGAAAAATATTGAAGCTCAGGCCTAAATTTCTTCATATTATCGAGTTGAGGGATAATGGTATAGTATAGAATGGTCCCTCCCCACCCTTTTCTTCTAGAGCTACTTATTAAAGTGTATGTTCAACTGCTCCCGAAGTTCAATGGTGGAAACTTGTGTGGAACAGAACGAGCTTGCCCAGACCTGGTATATTCTCTGGCTTCCATTCAATGATAGACTTCAAACAAAAAAAATTATTAAGAAAGGGTTTGCAGATTAGCCCTCTATGTTTTCTCTGTGGAAATGTCGAGGAAACTAGAGATCACTTATTTTTTGAGTAAGCAAAAATTTGTCTCTGAAAACTACTGATTATATATTAGCGCATCATATGCCTTGTCATTAAACCAGGTCAATACCCTGGATTTCCAGGAAATGGAGTGGCAAAGGAGTCGACTCAAATTTTAAGGGCTTTGTTGGTATTAGTACACTAGTATTAGTATTGGGTTATTGGGTTTAGACTCATTAACCTATTACCTATATGTGTTATGTACTCCTATATATAGACCTATGTAGATGAATAAAGCTATGCAATTCTGATTTACCATCTCTAACATGGTATCAGAGCCAGATTACAGTAAGGTAGATCAACTTCTGGATTTTAGCGTATGTTAAAAGCTACCCTGGAAAAGGATTAATGTAAAAGAAACATGGTCATTTACACATCTCTGCTTTTTCTGATGCTGGGTATGCAGGAGACATAGGAGATAGGAAGTCTACTTCTGGATTTTGTACTTTTATTGGAGGAAATCTGGTAACTTGAAGAAGCAAGAAACAAGATGTGGTATCTCGATCCAGTGCAGAGGCAGAATACAGAGTTATGGCTCACACTGTCCGTGAGATGATGTGGTAGCAGAAATTGTTGACTGAGCTTGGTTTTACTCAACCTGGATCTCTGCCTATGTATTATGATAATCAGTCAGTCATCTATATTGTAAAGAATCCAATGTTTCATGAGTGAACTAAACACATAAAGGTTGATTGTAATTCTGTCAGAGATGTTTGGGAAAAGAAAGTGATCTCTCTTCAGTTCACTCCGTCTTCAAAACAGTTAGCTGACATTCTCACTAAAGCTACCTCACCTAAAGTGTTGTTCATTCTGTGTAATAAGCTGGGCATGATTGATATATATGCTCCAGCTTGAGGGAGAGTGTTGGTATTAGTAGACTAACATTAGTATTGGGTTATTGGGTTTAGGCCCATTAACCTATTACCCATATGTGTTATGTACTCCTATATATAGACCTATGTAGATGAATAAAGCTATGCAATTCTGATTTACCATCTCTAACAGGCTTCATTAGCTGCTTGTGTCTATATGATATGTGCTGCTAGAAATGATGCTATATTCAGGAACGTACCTCCAAGCGTGGACTCTTCATTCTTGAAGCTTCAATTCTTTCTTAAGATTAAATTGAGCTCTATTCCGAAGATATCTGATACATTGTTGTAATGGAGAATGGTCTAGGAGATTATGTATATTCCCTGAGTTCGTACCACAACATAAGAGGGAATTGGGAAGGTAAAATAGCTAGCATGTCAAATCATTCAGGAGCTTTCAGGTGTTCTTGAAGAAGGGCAAAGGGAAGCTAGAATGTTTGGCTTCATTGCGTCCAACTTGCAGTTTACAGGTTTGAGGTGTTTATACAAAGTTTCTTTAACATGGAGTATAGAAAGGTATTTCTTGGTGTAATTGTATGGAGTTCTGTTTTCTTTGTTTCTCTTATGAGTGATGTATGCTTACGAGTTTGTTTTAAGGG